GCGCCAAAAACGCAATGTGTGTAACTTATGACCGCATTTGCTTTTGCATATTTTTCTGGATAATTCGTCACCGAAGTCGTGGAAGCTAGGAGGACAGAATCAATTATTCTAGCCGCATTTTTACTGAAAAGAAATGCCAAAAAGCGTTAGGACGCTGAAATCTTAACGTGTCCAGCTTTTCATCAAAAAAATTCTTAAAAACAAGCCTACCACATCGTGGAAATTGTGCTCTTAACATTTTGAATCGGTCAAGAACAAAGACAAGGCGCCGACAAGTGAAATCTGAAGCAAATACGACGAAACCGTATTCGGGAAATGTGAATAGACTTTTTCAAACAAAGAAAAATGTGACGCTGAAAAAAGTTTTGTTTTGGATTTGTGCGTAATTCTAAGAAGATGAATTGTTAAGCATAAAAAATAAAATTTAGTAAGGCCGGGACGTCATGTTGCTTTCGCTTGCTACCTTGTTCATCGTAATCCGTGCAAACGTGACTTAATTGCAGATGACGATGCCGACAACCATCGAAGTTGGTTGTGCGGTAAATAACTGTTCCGTTTTTACACTGCTTGTGTGCGCCTACAAAAGATGGTAAGTTTTTTAGCCTGCAATAATTCCATGTAGTCTGATATAAAATAATTGCTGTGGTATGTAGCATCCGACCATCGCTTCTCAATAATCTCCTCTTCCGTTTCCAGCTCTTCCGTCCAAATAAGATCTCAGCTCCTTTCCAATCAGTACCACAATCCCCTCCGCTCTGTTACAACTCCCTAATACCTAAATCCGTAGAACTGAAATGCTTGAAGCATAGCACTCATTATTGGCATGCTAGTATGTGCCCCTTAGGGTTGTCTGAGGTACATTCAAAATAGGAGGTACTCGTAACAGCCTTGAACTGTACACACTACAATATTTTTACCAAAGAGAAAAACGTTTGAGACGGTTTAGTTGCGGATTTTACATGCGCGCTATCGGTGGCTGAGATTTATACTCGAAGAATTGAGTAATGTATGAGGTGAGTTTTGATTTATCTGGGAATTCCCGCAATTTTTGAGAGCTGGGTCTCAAAAATGCTATCAGAATCAGTAAAATCAATTGTACTGAAACTCATTCATTTTCACCATCAACAAATATTTGTTTTGCAGTCAAACGAAGGGCCGGCTGAGGGCTAAAGTCTATGATCCTGGTGAAGCTTGCAAAGTGGATGATGAATGTACAGCATATCCGTATTCCACATGCATTCCTGACGGCCTCTGTGCCATCGATGCCTATGAAAAACGCACCGTTGATAATTGTCTGAACAAAGATTAACGTACGGAAATTTTGTTTTGTCCACCTACTTCACTTACAAATTGTAAATGCAGTGAAAAACATCAAATTGACTTTTTGCCTAGTAAGCAAAACGTAACTATATGCGGCTACACATGTTCACAAGCACTGGTAAATTTGCATGCAGACCTTTTTACTGTCGCTTCTTCATCTTTTATGGTTCCATCGTTTTTAAAGCAATGCATCTGTTAATAATTGGCAAACGCACAGGTTGTCCGTGCCAAGATGCGTTTTCAGCATAGTTCCCCGCACATATTTGTCGCTTACGGCACTGTTTTTTCCGAAAGATGCCTCTAGCTAAAAGAATTTCAGACTGGTCGCCAGAACCGTCAGGAAACATCCCTTCAAAAATCCAGTCATCTAGCTGAGAAGCCTGAGAAGGT